TTTGGAGTATACCTGACTCAAAAGTTTCAGTGAACAGGAGAACCTCCGATCGTTTGTCAGTTTACATGGTGGAGATGGTAACAATTTCGGCGGCATTGCAGCGGACAGATTAATGCTTAGTATTAATTACGTTAAAATCATTTTTATAAACAGCAGCAAGATTTAGTTAATGAGATATTTTAGACTTTTTATAGATTTTAAAATATGAATATATTGTGACTGCTTTTATATCGATTCTGTCACACAGAGGAATAAAGGGAAATGAAGGGGTGGACCTATTGGCTAAGCAARCACTAAATCATGAAGAAGTCATGGACATGTCACTTAGTAAATCAAGATGGAAAAACARTAATCATAGGAAACACTAAAGAATGGCAGCATAGGTGGGATGTAGCTCACACAGGAAGACACCTTTATGCAGTAAAGCTGGAAGTGAGCACATGGAGGACAGCAAAAAGGATCCCCAAAGAGGAGAACATCTTGACTAGGCTGAGGATAGTCATAGACATACTGGACTCAGTAACACAATGCATGTAATAAACACACATCCAACAGGATTATGTGATTACTTCCAAATAGAGGATTTAGGGGAGCATGTAATAAGAATGTGAGAGAACGAGAGAAGCTACAGTGGGAAATTGCAATGCATGGAGTGSAGGACCCAAGCTTCGAAATAGTGTTTACCATTGGAATAGGGAGTATGCTCCATTATCTGAGGGAGACAGGACTGGACATTACCCATTTGGTACTGTATCTTTTATTACCTTGAACTTCAAAGTAGTAGGGGCCTTTTACTTTCCTTTGAACTCACCAAAAGCCTTGAAGATCAACGGCTATAGAGAATATATATTTCTATAAAAGGCTCTATACTGATGTTGGTTGCCACAATAAACCCAACAGAGACGAAGAAAAAAACACAGAGCCACTGACATTTTGAGAGATCGTCAGACAACTAAACCACAGACTCATCATGGACCCATCCAAACTCAAAGTTATTGCCTGCGTGAATTTCCCTCCAGTGACCGTGTCCCAAATTGTGCTGGACTTGAACTGCTTGGCTGAGTCTCATGACCACGGTGAAATCAACAGGTCCACTGCGAATAATCTATGCAAACAGATTCTTAAACTGTCCACCAGGGAAATCCGAAAGAGCATCAAGTCAATTGTTTCAGAGTGGAAAGAGAAGTCCCCAAAGATATATTCACTCGTACGACGTGAGCAGTGTTACTTTGGTATAGATGAAGACTTTGTCCTGAAGAACATGAAAGACATCCTTCCACAGTTTTTCTGTTGCATTTTGTCGAATGACTCAAGCATTTACTGTGAGAGCTTATGTGAATTCAGCCGGTTAATTGCTCGAGAAATAGCGATCAAAATAAACAACCGCATAGCCATGGCACTTTCAGAGACTACCAAGACAAGTTGTGATATTTCAACATCTTATAATGCAATGATCGGTCTGATTGTCAATATAACAAATTGCATGCGTCTGAAGATGTGCCAGTGTGCAGTGCAGCAAGGAGAGGGCAACACCTCCCTCTTACTGGACACCCAAGAGGGAAAAACACAAATGGTCATAAGCAAAGACAGCTGTGACATAGTTTACTCTACATCACAAAAAGCAGTGATGGATATCCTGATGGACACTTCATCCATCACCTGCAGTCATGCAGAAATCCAGGAACTTTGTGACAACATGGATGACTATTTCGGAAACATCTCAAGTGTCAGAAGTTCAGAGAAGAGTGGGACTGCTGAGGTGTCAAATTGTGGAGATGGAACTGGTGATGATCCAAATGCTGATGCTGAAGAAGATTCAGATGTTGTTTCACATAGCCCTCTTTTTGGCGAGACGACTTTCAATGCACCAGATGGTCCAAGCAGACTAATGCAGCCAGGCAACGATCATCCTGATGTCCCTTGTCTTTCTGAGCCAGCAGAATTATCAGATGATCACAAAGGTCCTACACTGGTTGCCACTTCATTCATCAACCACTGTGACGAAGAAGACCAGGACCCTGATGAGGACATGGATGACAAATGCAAGATCATCTCAAATCTCAGAAGTTCAGAGGAGAGTGGGAATGCTGATGATGAAAATTCTGGAAATGAATATTCAGATGATGAAAATTCTGGAGATGAAAATACTGATGCTGAAGATGATTCAGACCAGGACCCTCATGAGGACATGGATGACAAATGCAAGAACATCTCTGGAGATGAATATTCACACGATGAACATTCCACAAGTTCAGAGGAGAGTGGGAATGCTGAAGATGAAAGTTCAGACGAGAGTCGACATTGTGAAGCTGGAGTAGATTCAGATAGTAGAACCACTGTCAAGTCAAGGCAGTATTCTGATGTCCAGACTCCTTCTGAGACAACAAGTATGACAGATGATGATGTACTTCACATGCAGATTTGCTTGGTTATTACAGGGCTTGTAGTGCATTGCATGAAAAAGGCCCCAGCAGCACTGAGTATGAAAGATTCCTGCRGGATTGTCAAAAATCTATTACAGAAGGCAAAGCGGCATATCAAGCTTAACGATGAGAGCGCAATGATATTGAAAAATGTTGAGAAAATCCGCAAGGCTGTGTACAAAGATCTGGTTAAGAAGATTGGCTCTGCAAAGTACATTCTGAGAGTCATGGAGACACAGATGGTTGACAATGTCTTCATTGAAACCCTGAGGATCCACTTGACGACCCCTAAAAGGAAGGGAGCTTTCTCCAGGTTCTTTTCATCCATGGGCAAATTCTTGAGGAAGTCATTCTGTGGCTTCTTCTGTGGTAGCTCCAACTCTGAACTAATGACTCCGCCTCTTTGACTCCCTAAGCAAGAACCAAAGGATCATCATGATGTCATATGATGTTATCATGTGGGTGTGGGTTTCCCCCAAAATGTCTTTTCATTGATTTAATAGTAATGTATTAATAATCGATGTTAAAATGTTTTAAAAGAGATACAAATTAGGCAGGTAGCTGCAGTTTCACTGTCTCGAAAATAAAGAAAATAAAGTTCAAGAGAAAAGTAATAACATTCTGTCACAGCGAGTCAATAACTGCAATAGGAGGAGATGAAGGTAAAGTCTCTGTCACTGATATGAATGAAAAATATGAGCAATTAATTAGAGGTGATGTTGGACTGACATGTTTTCTGCTGGATCAGACAATGAAACACCTTCATCCATAATTTGCCATGTCATTGCTGGTATGTACAGGACATCCAGCTGACCTTCACAACACCAACTGTGAGCTCTGCCATGGCACGAGTGCTTGATGACGCTCGTTGTATTGTGTTGTCTGGGGGATGACAAGAGGCCGAGTGTTCACGCATTTCATCAATCACCTGGAGAAAATAGGGATTTTTAGGTAAATGATCTGAAAATAACCTACATGGCAACAATCAAGCAGAGCCAAAAGTTTCAGTGTGATAAACAGCAATTATAAAGCTGAGCATGCTGAAAATAACAACTTTTAATCCAAATTAGCTCCAATATGTTTAAAAAAGTGGTGAGTATGTTTAGTAAAAATGATGCTGAAGTAATAATATCAATGTCAAATCTAAATGTTGGATCTCACATTTAGGAAGAAATTAAACATGAAGGTTTTAATATAATATTGAGATGTGACATTGTCATCATCTTTAGCATATTTAAATGAAAATATCAAAAATATTGCTGTAAATCTGGTAAAAAAAAACAAAAAACTGCCTTTCTTCTTTGTTCGGTTTGTTGGCGAGTGGCAACCAACGTTGAAAAACTACGGAGCCCGTCTGATGACATGGGTGGAAAAAAAATTCTCTGACTTGTTTAATGCGTTGGAACGAGATCCCTAGTTTGTTGTGGAGGTTTTATATCTGGTCACTCCATCGAGCTCATATTTTTGTATTATTAAATTACCTAAAATCTTAAAATATAAACCTTAATCTGCTGAGGAAATGTAATAACTAATTTCCAGGAAGACTCGTACACATGAATTGAGTCAGAATTTTATATTACTTTCAATATAAAGAATACAGGGGATAAAGAGATCATGACGGGCAACATTACAGACATGTGAATATCTAACCTACAGAAACCAAATCAAAAAATAAAATGGAATTTGATCTTACACATTCCTTTAAAGCAAAACTTGTATGTAAACAACAGAGCAGATGGACTGATATCAATCTTCTCCTGAGAAATGTTTTCCAGTTTTACAGCAAATTACACAACTTCTGTTTGACTCAATAAACCTTTGCACATTTTGATACGACAAAGGTTTTTATATAATGGAGGTACAAACTTTTGTGACACAATTGTTCCTTTGGAGGGTAACATCGTTGGAGAAAAGATCAACAATGATTATCTTTGGTTGGATTGTTTTTTCACTGCTGGCTCTAGAAGAAAAGTAAAGATGCAAAACATGTCTGTTTCACTTGTCACACATTCATCTCTCACTTTAAGATCTAAAGAGGTTTTCTACTTTTTAACAGATGTCTTTACTTTTAAGTCTCCTAAGTACAATGTCACACAAACCACTCTGAAATAAGCAAAGATCAATGGTACATGTACAACACAGATCCTTCAGATGTGGATGGTCTTTGTTTTTATACTTCTGAGGATTGTTTGCCCCGAATGCCACGCTCAACGTCATATACATCAACTAATCTCAATCTCAATTTTGAACAGTCAAAGCTAAAATGAGATCATCGCAAATGTTTTCTGGTAAATCTCAGATTTCTGTCCAAAAACATTTCAGGTATAAAGGCACTTAGAGCCATGCTGGCACAGAATAAAGGCCTCAACAAAAAAGAATTTGAATGTATTTCTTCTTGTCTTTGCATAAACAAACATTATTGGTCTGTTATTCAGA